TATTTTTGCTACTGTTAGTTTATGTTTGATATATTCCCTGTGTGTCGTATGTGTGTACATGTCAGAATGAACCACAGGATGAATAGCTACAGTTTGTACGCTAAATGTGGATCCTAATAAAATCAAAGTCAAATAGTCTCATGACTTTCAAATTGCCAGATAGCGACATAGGATTTTCCCAAATCCTTTTTCAAGCATTCTGAGTTAAACGTCCCAAAAATGAAGGAGTGGCTGCATGTCCGTCAACTATTTACCTTGAGAAATTACCTTGAGAAAAATTGAGGTATTGTTTTTGGCGTGTCTGTCAGTGTGTCTGTCTGTCTGTCTGTGTGTTTGTGTTTCCGCACATTTGTAGTCAGCATAACTTCATGTAATCTATTTAATATGTGGCAGGGGAAACATCAACAGATACCAATCATGCAAATGATGACCTAATTTGCATAATTAATGTGAAAATTCTGTGACTCATTATTGGTGTATGATGGGACTTTTATACCTTGTGACATGTGTAAGTTACTTAAAGGTTAACACCACTATGCATAAATCATGTTAATGTGGAGGTCATTTGCATAATTAATGAGGACATGTTGAAATGAAGTATGACAAAGTAGAGGAATTTCACACGAAAAATATTGTCAATTGAATTTAGAAAATTATAAATTAAACTAGATTATGCTAATAACGACCTTATTTCCATAGTCAATGAGACAAAAAATGAAAAAATTTCATGGAGGTGTGAGATCTATGAATTCTTGTTGCATTTGTATTTGCATGTAGCGTGGTAAGAGTAATAATCGTCCCACGATAGAGCGGCATCCCCGTCCGTCAATTATTTTTGCATGTAGCATGGCATTTGGTCATTCCACCAATGAGAGAGTGGCCTCATATTCAATCTTTCAATCTTTTCAATGTTTATATAACTTGACAACTCGAAGACAAAGTCTGAATTACGTTGTTCTGACAAAATAATCAACATATACATCGTCCACTAGAAAGTTACAAATACACTAAATCTATAATAGGCACCGTTGAATCAAATACACAGGAGACGACTATGCCGTTCGGACATGCCGTTAGATATAACTGAAAACATACGGTTGGCATATCCGATATGTGAACCTGATTAAGGCCGTGTTTATGTGAAGTCACCCAAAATGCGAATCGGGTAACTTATATTCCTCACATCTGGTCCACGTGCCACACATTCCTGTGAAACCGTGTCCGATCACAATTCGCTTGAGCTACATTTATTGTTGTTTGATGAAAACACGCAAGGTGGCGTGTTATTAATGTCAGAGGTCAACGACCTGCTTGTTGTTGCCCCCCTCCCAGCGTATCTCGGCCGAATGCCGACGTGGTCCCGCCAGAGGCGGTGAAGCTCGCCCTAGAACGGACACATTATTTGACCATTACTGCTCTTTAAGTTGCTGCTACGTAAAAGTTGGTATTGCATATAAATAAAGAAATATCACCCCGTAATCCATGACCAGGCGAAGTTGCATTGAAATATTCAGACGCAAATCGCGATGCGGGAAAACCGATTCGAAACCACCTCTAGATGTGGTTTGGGATCGAGGCGCTTTCAATGTGATTTGGAGCGTACAGATGGAGCCATTTAAAACCGGTTTCGGGGTAAACCACATGTAAAGCACCTTGGGTGACTTCACATAAACACGACCTAAGTGTACTGCATGCACTAAGTAGAATTCAACAGTATCACCAAGTACGGTAGAGGTGAGTTCTTGTAACGTTCGGTGCGGCAGAACGTCAAATTTGTTACTGTTACGTGTACATATCATCTACCGGAGATATCCTTTAACTATTACATTTTCATGTTCTTGTTTTGCATTTCTCCATTTTGGTGGGGTTATAGGAGTGAGTCTTTTGGAACCCCACGAGTAGGACAATACTGTCCATGCAGGTAATAGGTGCTCAGTAAAATGCAATCAGCTACATGCCACTTGTAAAACACAAAGACATCTATGACTTCAAGTTCCTTATTCTTTTAACTGTGAATTGTTGACATAAGTCTATAGTGTGTATCCTTTCTCGTGTATTTCAATCGAACGTCCCCTGGGTCCTCAGTGCATATTTTAACCCTACCTAGACCGGGGGGGGGGGGGCTAAAAGTGCCCGCGGCAACTTTGATGTCACCTAGCGTCTGAACGGCTAGCCGTAGAACGGCCAAACTTGGTGACTTTTCCTAGAATATTGTTGGCAACAATTCTCTATCATTAGTATATGATAATAATTTTTTGTGTTGCCATGGCAACGGATTTCTGACTGGCATTTTTTGCTAAATTTAGTACTTTTTGTTTCAACAATAGAATTTTATGGGTTTTATGTCAAGTTACTCATGGTTTCTAATATTAATAACATCCCATATAATTTCATGTAAATTTTATCATTAAATATGCATAATTGATGCTAATTTGATGACGTCATTGGCCAAAATCCAAGATGGCGGACCATATCATGAGAACAGGTATATACAGGTTATTTTCATAAAAATTTCATCAATACTTCCATTTCTTTTTCCAAAAAAGGTTTAAATGAAGGTCTTTAGTATGTTTACGATGTATTTTAGGCTTTATCATGAAAAAAAACTATTTTTGAAAATTCAAGATTGATGATTCAAGATGGCGGATATCTTAAATATGCATGACGTCATTTTATGACGACACCGGTGTTGCTATGGGCAACATAAGACTTAGTACACCATAGTATTCTGTCATAAACACTTTTGGTACAGTTATGTTGAATATCATTTAGTTTTCAGGGAAAAACCTATTTAGACGGTTTTGGCCAATAAAATCACATTAATGACGTCATAATGACGTCATATTACATCATAACGACATAAAAATTGTAGATATGATAAATTTTTACTAGTACACCATTCTCTAAAAATTTGGTGGTCATACGACATACCGTTCGCGAGTTCTTAGGGGGGGGTCAAAGAGCCCCCCCCCCCCAGTCCCCCAATGTCAAAAAAAGCCCGGTCTAGGTAGGGTTAAGAACTGGTATAATTAAAAAGCTGTCCGCCACACCTACAAACGCTGATACCCATAACCCGTGCATCTGCTACTGAGTCTCGCTTTCCCCTCAGGAACAGCAACCACCTGACTGTTGAACTTAACAAAACCACCAGAAGCCAGAGAACATTCTTCCACCGAGCAACGTCACTCTGAAACACTCTTTCCACTGACGCTCGCACTGCCACTACTATTGCCTCCTTCAAAAGGAAGCTATAGGACTCTTTAGGTGACCCCTATAAGCCTTAGGTGTATGACCCTGAAATTGACACACCCCCCCTCAGAACTCGAGAACGGTATGTCGTATGACCACCAAATTTTTCAGAGTATCATGTACTAGTAAAGATTTATCATATCTACAATTTTTATGTCATTATGACGTTATATGACGTCATTATGACGTCATTAATGTGATTTTATTGGCCAAAACCGTCTAGATAGGTCATCCCCTAAAACTTCCCTGGTATACAACATAACTTTATCAAAAGTATTTAAGACAGAATATTAGGGTGTATTAAGTCTTATGTTGCCCATAGCAATACCGGTGACGTCATAAAATAAAGTCTTGCATATTTAAGCTATCCGCCATTTTAATCATCAATCTTGAATTTTCAAAAAAAAAATTTTTCAGGATTAAGCCTAAAATACATTGTAAACAGACTAAAGAAGTTCATATCAAACTTTTTTGTAAAAAGGAATGGAAGTTTTATTGAAATTTTAAGGAAAATAACCTGTTTATACCTGTTCTAATGATATGGTCCGCCATCTTGGATTTTGGCCAATGACGTCATCAAATTAGCATAAATTATGCATTTTTAATTATAAAATTTAAGTAAAATTGTCCGGGATGTTATTAATATTAGAAACCATGTGTAACTTGACATAAAACCCATGAAATTCTATAGTTGAAACTAAAATTACTAAAATTAGCAAAAAATGCCTGTCAGAAACCCGGGAAAAGTCACCAAGTTTGGCCGTTCTAGCGCTAGCCGTTCAGACGCTATGTGACATCAAATTTGGCGCGGGCACTTGTACGCCCCCCCCCCCCGGTCTAGATATTAAGGTTAAATATAACTGCCTGTAAAATTGAATGCGTAATGCCGCAGTGGAGGCACAAAAACGGGTTGTTGTTTTAAAGCGTTTTATTCAAAGTATGTCAGAAATGTGTAAAACATATATCTAGGTACTTGCAATTTCTTCAATAAGAAGAAACAATAGTCTATAAATACATGAAACGCAACTACGTGTGAATGCATGGAGTGACAACCTTGTAAGTGACAACTACACAAAAGCACACAAAGAAACGCTATGATAACAAAAAAAGTGCTGGGACCATAAATCATAAATGCGTTAGCAATTATTTTAGAATAGAAGAACACACTAGCACGGCGTTAGACCATTAATAGGTGCAGATTTCACATAGTACAGATTTCTACATGCTGAGAGTCATCAGCACAAAGTGATGGCAAGAAAGTCATCAGGTAATACATTAACTTAAAGAAAACTTGTTTAAAGTTAAAACTTTTGATCCAACACAAAAAGTTCTCTCACCTAGAGTTTTCGACCAGTCACTCTGGTCTTCCTCAGTAGACTGACCCAGTGAAGCTTGTCACGTGGCTTCTTTGAAGTGTGACGTCAACACTGGGTCAAAGGTATCTGGTAGACGATGTCGGCCCTCGTCGCGGTTCAATGTAGGGTGATGGGCCTTGATGTATATGGCTTCCTTCACCCCTCTCAAGAAATAGAGTTTGACCCAGTGTTGACGTCACACTTCAAAGAAGCCACGTGACAAGCTTCACTTGAGGAAGACCAGAGTGACTGGTCGAAAGCTCTAGGTGAGAGAATTTTTGTGTTAGATCAAAAGTTTTAACTTTAAACATGTAACTACCAACACAGATGAACTTTCATGATAGTTAAAGAAATCTTGCGGATTGCCTTTAGCATGATACGGATACAGATGCCGTCACTTGTTTTGATGAGATAGATTTTCACGCTGGGAGAATCATTTACGTCATCAAAACAATCATTAAGAAAAGCGCCTGTTTTTCAGCATTTCACTTCAGTTTTATCCAACTTGGCTAGTTTATTTTATCTCATTCATCGTCTACATTTTATAAAATCTTTGCTAATTATTTACGGGCTTTGATCATTTGTATCTATAATTTGACATTTGTATATCAGCACTGTATTTTATTTATAATATATCCTTTATTCAGTTCAGTTTGTTATGTAAATCCGTACCTCTGTTCTCTTTATTTACGTACCATACATTTTGCACTTTCTTATGGTGTCTGGTGCACACGCGGGTACTTTCATAAAGCTTCATTTATTAATTCACTCTGACATTTATTCCTTTCTTGGTTAAAAATAAATTCCAATACTTAAAAATCCTGCTGAACTATATTTTTTTTTTCAGAACCACTTATAAGAACGTGTCTGTTTCATTAGTTACTTTATCAACCCTCTGTTGTCCAGGCTTCTCTGACTCCTCGCTGTTCTTGGTTTCTTCCGTCTCAGATGTGAATGATGGATTCTCAATGTCCATCATTTTCATGGCCTTGTCATCCTCCTGTAAAAATAAAAATATAGAATAACAAAAGATTTAACCAAGCCTAATTGTGTCTGTCCTTCTTTTCTGTACGGCTGAAAGAATAGACTGGTATAATTGCTAGGAGTTCACAAAAGCTAGAACTATCGTAGAGAAGAGCTCATTGTTTAAAATACAATATGGATGTCTTCACTAGATAGCTTTAAACAACGCGTACAGATAGATGCGCCAAGGTAAGGTGTGGCAGGCCTAGCTAGGTCGTTCAGCGTAATAGCGAGCTGCTGCCTGTAAAGCTGGTGTGTTATGCAAAAGGGCCATTATACCGGCCATACGCATACCGAGGAGGATCTTTGCTAGATACTGCACCAATATTGCAGAACTAAGGAATGGTGTGCTGGTGCGTGTACTATGCCAAAGCGGAGCATCACTGTGCTACACATGCCGAAGGGCGGTTAGACCGACTATACAGAAACAGATAAAGAACCTGGTGTGTTACGCCGAAAAGCGGGTACACCGACTATACAGACACAGGTAGAGAACCTGGTGTGTTACGCTGAAAAGCGGGTACACCGACTATACAGAAACAGATAAAGAACCTGGTGTGTTACGCCGAAAAGCGGGTACACCGACTATACAGACACAGGTAGAGAACCCGGTGTGTTACGCCGAAAAGCGGTTAGACCGACTATACAGAAACAGATAAAGAACCTGGTGTGTTACGCCGAAAAGCGGGTACACCGACTATACAGACACAGGTAGAGAACCTGGTGTGTTACGCCGAAAAGCTGTTACACCGACTATACAGACACAGGTAGAGAACCTGGTGTGTTACGCCGAAAAGCTGTTATATCGACTATACAGACACAGATACAGAAACTGGTGTGTTACTCCAAAAGGCGGTTATACCGACTATACAGACACAGACGTGTGTACATGTTCTGATTAATTAGGCGTACAGCGCCTTGCCATTGGTAACCTACCGTCTGGTCCTGTTTTACTCCACAGCGGAGACATTTCAGCCAACTGTTGGGCAGGCAACAGAACAGACTGTCGCAAACCGGGATGGTCAGTTTGGGGTCCAGTTCCTCTGGCTTCTGAGGACCTGCAAAACAATTAAAAATGTTTTTTACCATTTTATTTCTTTCAACAACGTTACTTTTTTACACAGAAAAACATTGAAATTTATTAAATACATCTGAAATCATTTGTCCAAACCACCAAATATATCTATGAAAATGTTGAAGCTATCCAATGATAGTGGTGATAATATATATGTTAATATCAACAAAAACGTAAACACTATTCAATGATACTGACATTAGTATGGTGTTACATGGTACAAGCATATCATTATCATGATATCACAATCAAATCATTCAAAATCGTGCATTAGGTAATGGCTGTTCCACTTTTCTGAGCTTGCAGATGCTGACAGTAATGTTCTTGAAAAATATGGTTTTCTTCTGAGACACACGTTTTAATGATTTAGAAAAAAAAAACTTTTCTTACCCTACCATGAAAGTTCATCTGTGTTGGTAGTTACATGTTTTAAGTTAAAACTTTTGGTCCAACACAAAAAGCTCTCTCACCTAAAGCTTTCGACCAGTCACTCTGGTCTTCCTCAGTAGACTGGCCCAGTGAGGAATAACTGTGAAAGACCAGAGTGACTGGTCGAATACTCTAGGTGAGAGAACTTTTTGTGTTGGGTCAAAAGTTTTAACTTTAGCCTTTTCTTACCTGTGATACAACTGACAAGAAGACCGATGACGATACAGATAACCGTAGCGAAGGCTCCCAGGTACGCGTAGGACAGTTCGTACAGCACTGATTCTGGTGGACTGTGGGAAAGGTTTTAAAAAGTTAAATTAGCTCTTATGGCACATAGTGTATAGGACTGTAAATAATTTCATCAGGTTGCTAAACGACTGAACAGCAAAGTTCTTTTTATATTTTATCACTACCATTTTTTTTTTCAAGCCGACGTTTTGATGACCTTCTGTCATCTTCACTATTACAATTACACTACGTTCCGGAATGTATTGTAAACAGAAAAAAACTAGCTTAAGTGCACTATGAACTATGTAACACCTTTAGTGCACTATGCACCACGTAATATCTAATGTCGTTGTGATAAAAAGAACTTTGCTATTCAGTGTATAGGACTGTTCCCATATCTGTTTCTCTAGCCCTTGGGCCACATAGTTGTGCAAGATAAAATAACACTACATCATGGGGCTAGTCAACTGGTACCACCGTTTCAAACTTCCATATTTCTTTCCTATAAAGGCTAAACAAAGAAGGAAATTCAATATAAACTGTTCAGAAAGATTTGTGCGATTCGAATATGAGTTCTAACATCTAGTGTGACAACACACTTTCCACTGCGTAAAATGTGTGATTTACTAAAGACGATAAAGTCCTGTTGATCTGGTAATGATGGCTTTGATCGAGCGATAATCGTCGGTAGGGTTGATTTTCTGTGTGTGGTAAATCTAATTTTTGTGGAGTGAGCCCTGCATACTAACTCCAAGTGTCGATTTAGTTATTGTCTAATCATAATCATGTCCCAGGTAGGTTCAACAGGGACGTTCGTGAATGGTTACACAAACGATGGCGATACATGACATGTCTGATAATAGTTGCTTAGGTCCAATCAAAAACCAATGGCAACCTTTCCAGATACTGGGCGTATCAGACACCTTTCTCAGAGCGTCTGACTGGAGTACTGATTCGGTAGCGGGTGTAGGTGGCGCTTTTGTGGTAAGAACCAGTACTCCAGTCAGAAGCTCAGATGAAATTGTCTGGTTGCCATGTTAGAGAATAGTTAACACCTTTATTGTTACAGCATACATATACTCTGTACGTAAGATGACGTTATCCACACATGTATTTAGCTTTGTTAGATCTTTAGCTGTAGAAGAGCATACAAAACTCCTTGCAGAAAAAAATCCCCAAATCCTATGTTCTGCCGACATGATCATTTTTTTGTACAGTGAAAGGTGCTGAAATACTCACTAATCAATTGAAGTGGGCTCCGCTGTATTGTTGACGTCATAGAGTGCCGTAACCATGGCTACCGTGGACTGTGTGGTGATGTTTGCTGTGACATTGACCGAGGGACATCCCTCGGTGGACACGGGCGGCATCCAACGCGACCTCGGCCACACGAACCCTCCCAACCCGACCCACAGCGACATCGCAAGGCTGGTCAGAAGGCCTGCCAGGCCTCCCTGTCAAGATAAGCAGAATATGTAGTTACTTTCAGGTATGTAAGTATTGCCTTGGGTGACTTACATGTATATATGGGTTTGTTTGTCTGTTTGAATTGAGTAGGTTAACAGCACGTGGGAGAGCAGATTGACAGGCTTGATGACAGGAGGTAAAAAAAAACATTTCTACACAAGAAATAGATTTGACCGGAATGTAGTAGTTCACATCCCTGAGAAATGTCAGTATGTCGATTATTGTAAGGACTCTGCAAAACTGAAACAAGTCCGAAATTTGTTGTGAATTATGCTGAACTCAAACTATCACTCACACACGCGCGCGTACACACATACATACACACACACACACACAGATACACACAAACACACAAAAACGCAAACGCACACACACACACAGATACACACAAACACACAAAACGCACACACACACACACAGAGATACACACAAACACACACACACACACACACACACACACACACACACACACACACACATACTGACAAAAACAGCGAGTTAAAACAATACTTACCCATTTGTTTGCACACGGGAAAAACATCCCCAGGACGAAGACGCCGAGCATGGGACCTCCCACCATGCCGAAAATACTGAGTGACGCCTGGACCACGGGCCCCATCAGGGACGCCACGTATGCCATCAGGATCATCGAGCAGCCGAACAACATCGCTGGAACCATCACATCGGTAATGTTGTATTACGGCTATCTACAAATTTAAGAGATTGTTTTTTTCCCCAAATAATCTTTATTGTAATTTCAAAGAATAAAGGCAAAAGACATGTTCACATACAAGAAAAATAAATACCCGGCCAGAGACATTTTGCAAACAATACATCAGTCTAACAATTTACCATACAGAGGACCCCATTTCAACATATGTTTATCAATTTTCCCACAGTCTTGTGCAATTTAAGAGATTGTTTGACAATTCTGACAAAACGTCGATGAAGGTTAGACATCCAGGTAATGACTTAGAAAAGAAATCGTCACTCTAACTACTGGATAGATATTGATTCTGACCACAATGAAGTTCTGAAAACAATTAAATTTATGAAAACATGTTTCCGACAATAATGTTGACCAGAGTACAAACGTTAACATCAGACGTATGAAATAACAGATAATCTTTTCGTTGAGCATAATTTTCTAATTTTTCGACACGTCAAACTTGTCGAATTACCGTAACTTTGCATTTTGGAACCTTTCGATCGAAGAGTAGTGAAAGGAGTCATCCCTCGGTCGCGACGGGGGCTGATACCGACTGTCGGGCACATTTGACCCGTTGCTGACGTCACACTTTTGTTCAGGTCTTGTGACATATCACATGTACTATTAATATTAACTTTTGAAATAGAATGTTATTTTCGATACGTAGAACTTGTAGGTAATACTGTAGACGTGAGAGTAGATGCTAGCTAGATATGTAGTACTGAAGAGTTTGCCATGCATTGTACCCGTTACAATTGTTTTGCAATAAAGATTAACTTGACTTGTCTTGACATATCTTTAAGACCATTGAGAAGGATCAAGACCGATCAAACATTTCATGGTAAGGGTTTTTGCTACAAATGTGAGCTTTTGTAGTAGGTAGTATATTCTATATTCTTTGAATTTCTTAACTTACCAAGGCCCTTGGATATCCACGTGTACTTCAGATCGCTGAAGTTGGGGAAGCAGGGCTTGACGAAGTCCTCCAGAGCCACGGCGGCGAGCGCGTTCAGCCCCGAGGACATGGTGCTGAGCGCCCCGCTAAACACGCAGGCCGTGAAGAGACCAGGCATGCCGGGGAACTTACCCAGGATATCCATCACAAAGTACGGCATCATCTGGGAAATAAACATCGGGCTGGACTTTTGTGTGTGTTTTACCCTCATATACACACTCATTTTTGGCGACGCCTTTGGTGCGGAGGCATTTGTGCAAGTACTACGATCGTTTTGAAAGAATTTTAGGGAATTGGTTTTGAGGTATATATAACCTTCGGCCATGTGGTTTTTGGATCAAGCAGGTAACTTACCCCGGGTGCCCACGTGCCACCCATCCAGCTGCCTGGCATGATTAATTACTGGTCATCTGTCTTCTCCCCACACCATGGACAGAGAGCACAGCTGTCTTTGGACAAAGACCACTTGATCAAGACATTCCCTCCCCAAGAACATTTAGGCTGATGGGGTGGGTTTATTGTCCTTGCACAGAAAAAAGAAACCATCCGTCCTTTTGGGGACACACAAAAGGTCAAACAAGTCCTACATGTAGGAGTAACAGCTTCAGATCAGACGTACAATCCAGTCTCTGGTGGAGGATAGAGTGCAGTGGAGTGGAGGATGGTTGTAAGCTTGGTTCGAGCGGGAACTTGACCAAAGTAAAGTTAGTAAGTATGTCATCATAAAATCTATGTGATAGCTGGGGAAGAACGGCTGATTCCTCCTATACGTGTATTTGGTACTCGTATATTGCCCCACACCTCTTCCACCCATTTTGTAAATTTCACAACGTGCATGTCTTTATAAGGTAGGGAGATCTGTTTTTTTTATAATTGTAATGTAGATTGCTAGCTCCACCACAAAGTCATGAAATAATATATATCATTCAGTCGTCGCCTTGGCAATGTTTTTTATTGCCTCAGCCTTGTTGGTCTTTTTTTTATTTGGTTGCTAGTGTACGTATTTGTCTATTGCAAATCGTAGGCTGTGAGAATGGGCAGGGACGGCGACTGGGAGAAAGTTCATTGCGCATTGGTAATTAATGGGACCTTCCAGCAAAATTATTTTTCCGGAGGCAACAAAACAGTCAGAAACTCGGAGCTCCATGGAGTTCTGAAATCGCCAATTTCCTGTATCTAACGCCTCTGTCGAGCTTTAGAAGCAGCTGGAAACTATCGAAATGGACCAATAGACAACGTATTCGTCCGCTAAAGGAGTACAGTTTGCCACAGTGCGTTTGTGAACAGTTTTGCCCGTTTCTACTTTACCAGTCGCTTCTGAAGCCTGATAGAGGATGTAAATAAATAACTACCTGTCAACAACTTTTGCAATGTGCCCACTTTCCTACGGTGGTTGGTGTGCAGTTGGACAACGGACAGTAACAAAATATGTAGAAATTTCTACCAAAATCAAAAGTCTCCGTACCGTGATAGCACAGTCATGCATGTTTACTCAATGGCTAGCAAAGTGTGTTGACAACGTTTACTTGCTTACCGGTCCCTAAAGTCTTTATCTTGTTTGCGTAACGCCTGCATATCTATTATGTGTTTTGAGGGCTGGGCCAATCACGAAAGTAGTATACAATACACTTCAGTCAGGTTTTTCTGATAAGATTGTGCCTACTTTACGTCCCTGACATGTCACACATAGAACTTTCCTCTGTCAGACCACCAACCAACCAGAAAGTTTGCTGACGTTCGGGTTGCAGTATAATAGAATTTAGGCAACGCCTTCATTTTTATACGAATCAAAACATGATTGATTTAAATTTGACTCAAATTCAACCCACGAACATTGCTGGATTAGTTCTGTACACAAAACAACATGCCGTCACAGTCGAGTGTTTCTAAGGGACTGTACAATATTTACCGGTGGGGGAGGGCTGGTGCATAGGGGGGAGGGCTGGTGCGTAGGGGAGGGCCATGGAAAGAATAATTTGCATATGGGGGAGGGCCAAGGAAAAAAATCGGGGCCATGGAAAAAATTTTTCACGAATCCGTCGTACGATCCTACGTTCCTAGCTCTGAAAATATACTAAAATGCTTCAGATATATATAAACCATCTGAAGCATTTTATGCTGGCTTAGTCGAACACAGCCGAACACCAGCCAACCATGCTCCCGACCTACTCTTTATTTATAAGGCCGCGGAAAGTAGTGCAGACAAACCTCTTGCATCCTGGCTAGAGTAGCCATGAATGAACTGCGCTGTGTGGTATAGAAAGGTGTCGGCTTGTATGAGTTGGATTGTGAAGATTTCCCTGTTCGTGTAGAAATGCGCGGCATTTCGCAACCGCGTTCCGGGGAGAGCCGGCTGCAGTTCCGTTGACCCCGGTAGAGGGCCAAATCAAAGTGGTCGTCATTAGGCCATGTTGATTTGATTATATGGATGACATCCTCCGGGAGCCCCAAAACTGATGCGCGCGTGCGAAAAAAAAAAAGTTTTTGCAAAGAAAAAAGTTCTTTTCATTATGAAATCTACGTGGTCATGAGGGTTCAGCAAATGGCAAAGAATATGGTTTGGCGAATAATCTAGTCTTCAAGTTCATTTCTTTACAATTTCGTCTTTTTTCGCTTGATTTTGGCATTCTACGACATTGGTATAGTTTTTATTAATTTGTTTGTAACTTATGGTATATTTTTGCTCATTTTGCAACTGTTTTGTACGATTTACAGTATGGTTGAAAATTTTTTTTTTTGGAAACGGGCGAAAATTCATGCGCGCGTGGATGTCATCCATATAATTAAATCAACATGGCCTTATGTCAAAAAACCATAATTTTTTTGGGATTTCAGTTATTTTGTAGAATATACCGTCTATTTTAAAATATTAGTTGGCCGTGATTCTCTAGTGCACCCTACTATAATTTATACCGCGTCGAAGTGAGTCACCTCGGGGTGCTTAACTATAGGAATCCCCATAGGGCGAAAACTGTGTTCTGCCACCTTAACCATGGTTTGTGTTCGGGTGGCCCTATGTGTGTGGCAGGGGCTTTACGAAGGACAGTACCTGGTCTGAGTTGTCGATGTACCCCGCCAACCTCGGGTCGCAGTCGTGGTACCGGGCGTACATCACCAGTCCGCTCACACAGGCGAAGGACACGAGGAGGGACAGTCCCGGGATGTTCCACAAGATGGCGCTGTTACACAAGGGGAGACGTTCAAATCATTAGTACAGTCGTCACGTTCACTCCAAGTTTATTATGGAGGTATTGTTTTTGGCAAGTCGGTCTGTCTGTGTGTTTGTGTTTCCGCACATTTTAGTCAGCATAACTTCAGAACGCCTTTATGGATTGGTACGTTGGTAGGTCTTAGGAAGCCAAAGGTCAAGGTCAAATATTGGCCTCCTGGTGGCTGACATTGGTACTGCAGCAGAACTTCCGGTTTTTGTATCTTTTGTCCGACATGATATGGTCTTTGATTTTTGGTGACGGATAGCTTTATCTGTCAGGAATAAGAGGTGTAAGTTTTGTCCCCCTAGCAGCTTGTTCTGGAACTGCAGGTTAGATTCTGGTAAATGTTAAAGCAGAGAAAGAGCCACATGCAACTTCAACTACCTTTCATTAGAATTCATTGGCTCTCTGGGGAAATGTAATAACTTATTTTGGAGTGGAGTATAACTCACATCTGCGCTTTCTTGACGGACGGGCAGCTGAGGTAACGCTGGACCTGTGCCTGGTTGACTCCGTACACCGCCAGCCAGATGAACGTTCCTCCCACCGCCACACTCCAGGACGAGTGGCGAATCCGAGGGTCGGGGTCAAAACTGCGAGAAAAAAGGGTTTTTTTCCGTTTTAACGTCATTTTTCCCCGAACCGGGGGTTAGACGTGCTTGCACGAAGTACAAGTCTTTTTGCTAAAGCAAGATTTTTACGGCTGAATATAATGCCCTTCCTAACGCCAACCCAAACCCTAGTAGGGCCCATGATCCCTCTACGGGTAACTGAGGGGGGAAATACGTGTTAAGTGCCTTTCCCAAGGTTGCTTGACAACTGTTTATTCTTAAAAAAATAGTTACTCAACCAACTGGATATGATTTTGTAAACGGTCACAGACGTTTCAGGTAGCATCCACTACATTTCATTAGTGACAGTGGGGAATTCTCAGAAGAGCAGGTTTATAAGTACGTACATGTACTATTGATTGAAACTTTTCTGAGAATTCCCCACAGTCACTGCCTTTTTCTGAGAATTCTACACTGTTTTTGACGAAACGTAGTGGATGCTACCTGAAACGTCTGACCATTTCCAAAACCACATCCAGTTGTTTGAGTAACTGTTTCGTGGCGTATGCTATTACCCAGATGTTTAACTTTCACCGAGGTAAGTGTATATCTGTCTATCTTGTTAGACGTTTAGAAGTTAGAACTTTGGTCTTTGAAGCTTTGGTTGTTGAAGCCCCTAATCGTCAGAGCTTAGGCAATTAAATTATTTTTCTTAATTTTATATGATTTTTCGGTTTTGCACTACTACTAACACCTTTTTTGAGATTAGCAACACGTATAGTTTCTGTATTTTGTTAATGCTTACCATGTAATGTATTTTAAGTATGGTGCTTTGTGGTTATTGTGTGACACTATTGTGTGATTTTGTATGTATTACATGTTAAGGACCACACTAAGAGTAGCTGTGGCCTTTGCGTGGATTTGTTTAAGGTGGATAACAGGTTGCGAATCTGAGACCCACACACTTGGACATCCGTCTTCCCCAGCGGATCCATATAGAGGGAGACGTGCTGGGTCCGGTTGGGATGCTTGCAGCGAGCTACCGGATGATTTGATTACGCTCAAGGTCCGCCTTGACCACGCCAGCCCGTCAACTGTGACCCTCACTCAGGTGTAGGAATTGACACGGTCATCCTACTCGGAAAATCTATATCTGTATATCTATACATAGATCTGTATCTGTGCATGAATATGTATCTGTGCATAAATATGTATGATCTGTGCATGAATCTGTATCTGATTGCAAATAAAGATATCGAGTGATTGCCAAGAAGAGTAGCTGACAGAATTGCCAAACTAATTGTGGATCTGAATAAAGTCAAAGACTTACTTGAAGAACTGGATCCTCTGTCCCTGTGTGTTGAGTTGCCAGACCCGCGCCATCCCGCCCACATCCATGGTCCCCTGGATAATCACCGAGAGAAACCCCGCCACCATCACAACTACCTGGAACGCGTCGGTCCACATCACCGCCTTCATGCCGCCCTACAGGAACAAATCAGACTCTGAAGGTCATCTCACGAAAACAGAGAGCACTACGAGATTTATACATGATTAATGCCTTCCCTTCTTAAACTTTGGTCCCAATTAGAAAAAGGGGCCCTGCCGGGTAGTCCCCGGGCTGTTTTTGGCACTTTCGGGCGTGACCCCTGCGGCTTCCGGGCTACTTTTGGTCCCGGCGGGGACCCGAGAAGAATTTAATTCTGACCTATATTCTACCCGGGCCCCGCTGACAAAAGGACGCCGTGACTGAGCCGTGAGATCACCGAGAGGTACCCCTCCGGTTGCTGGCAGTCCACCGGGACTAATTTCTCTTTCCCCGTGCAGTCCATGTCAGAAGAACACATTTTTCGTTCTATGGGGATTTCTATAGTTACGGCCTAGAGGTTTATGTATATAGTAGGGTGTACTACTAGAAATAACCTTATCCTAACCATTATTGTGTGGCGTTCCGCTAGAGTTCGGGAGGCAAAACTAGTATTCTTGATTGTACAACAGGGGTTTTACCCACCAATGTTGTGTAGAAGGTGCAGACCACGCCCACAGCTACAACAGCGCCCCACAGCGTCAGACCCGTCACTGCAGCCACAGAAACAACGTAATATTCTTCATTCTACAGCACAAGTTACTGTGATACATCTTCGAGCCAACCATCACTATGACAAACCCAGGTCAAAATGAAATTTACTTTTGTGTCATCTTATAAAACAAGGTGTGCTACAGTTGTTTTTTTTTTCGCAAAATCGACAAACTACTTAAAAAACACAGAAATCGTGTGTAAGAGCAGTAGGTCATCAAACACTTCTGCTTTCCTTGTACCGCATGTACACACCTGCGTTGAGAGCCAGAGAAGGCACATAAAGCACGAGTCCCATGTACAGGAGCTGTGTTAGGAAATAAAAAGGTTGATTTTAAAAATCATTCATGCTTTAATTGAATAAGAGTTCCACGATCCCACACCTTCGCCAAATACAGTTAATCTTTACGACTGACGAATTATACTACTACTACTACCGCTACGCCGCATATCAGCTACTGCTGAGGCGGGCCATGATGACGAATTTTTATTATAAATAACATCGAGCAGATTATTATTGGAATGAGCAGAGCACTTTGGACTAATGCCTCTGACTATTTACAGCTTAGAGGTACATATCCAATCTTTTGTCACAAACTTCTCTGTTACATAGCGGATTATAATGACCCCCAGTGGGGGTCTTCACGCTTTGTTAAAAATTGAAAAATCTCAAGATTCATTCTAAAGATCTCAATATTTTAGACGAAATCTTGAGATCTTATGAGACAATCTTGAGATTGTTCATGACAATCTCCAGATCTTTCAGAAAATCTTGAGATGAAAACAAAAGGTCTCAAGATCTTTCCAAATGTTTTCAAAGTATCTTGAGATTTTTCCAAAGCATCTCGAGTGGCTTTAAAAAATATCAAGCTTGTTTAAAAGATCTCACGTTTTTTCAAGATTGCTTTAAAAATCTTGATATTTCTTAAAGCATCTCGAGATGCTATGGAAAAATCTCAAGATACTTTGAAAACATTTGGAAAGATCTTGAGACCTTGTCTTTTCATCTTAAGATTTTCTGAAAGATCTGGAGATTGTCATAAAAATCTCAATATTGTCTTATAAGATCTCAAGATTTCGTCTAAAATATTGAGATTTTTCAATTTTTAATGAAGCGTGAAGACCCCCACTGGGGGTCATTATGATCCGCTATGTAACAGAGAAGTTTTTGACAAAAGATTGGATATGTACCTCTAAGCTGTAAATGGTCAGAGGCATTAGTCCAAAGTGCTCTGCTCATTCCAATAATACTCTGCTCGCTGTTAAATGTTTTTCATACATGGGGGTTTTGTAAATAAGACCCCCATTTGCAGGAATTATATCAGTCGATCATATTGTCCATCCACTACTATAGTACTATCTTCCAGTACTATAGTACTATCTTAAGGAAGGTTGTATCATTTCTTTATGTATGCCAAAACGGCCCTGAAGTAACACCTGGAGTATCCGTGAATTTTGAAGTCTTGGCCCTCTGAAACGCTATTTCCTGCATTTTGAGGGAGAAATTATTCTGGTAGACCAAACTAAGTTTAATGCCTGTGAATATGATGTAGAGGATATAACAATAAGATGTCAGAGCTCACCATATTGGCCATGAAGAGTACAGTGCAGACCAAACGTACGACTTTGGAGAATCGGATTTCCAGATACTGTAGAAAAAACAAACGAACAGAACGAGTCAAAGTACAATCGCAAAGCAACGACGTACATGTGCATTAGAATTATTCGATAGTCCTCAATTTACACTCGACTAAGAAGAAGAAGAAGAAGGTCTCCCGTGCTCTTATGCCGAGCGTAGGGTGGTCCCCATCTCCATTTCGTTACCCTTGGGCGACACACAGTTGTGCAAGGCACTACAGCAGGGGGCTAGTCCACTGGTAGTGCTGTGTGTTTAAGTTAACCTTCCCATACCATTTTTTCATATGTGTGTGCTGAGTGTTAAGCAGAGAAAGAAGTGTGTACCATTTTTAAAGTCTTTGGTATGACTCGGCCGGGGATCGAACTCACGACCTCCCGGTTAGGCAAGCACTCTGCTATTGCACTTAGCAGTAGCAATGAAGACTTCAATATTTTCCATCTACCTCACGTACCTCATATGTACTCGTGAGTCCCAGGCTATAGAAGGCCGGGATGAAGAGCCTTGCCACCAGCAGGATGGTGATGGTGTAGGCGATCACAAAGTTCCAGAACATGGTCCCGTTAGTGTAGATCTCTGCAGGTGTTCCCAACACCGTGATAGCGGAGATGAAGGAAGCCAGCAAGGACAGTGCCACGGGTACTACTGACATGGACTGAAAACAAGAAAACTCTAAAGATGTTTTGTTTTGTTTTGGCTATACTTGTGTGCGTGCGTGTGTGTGTGTGTATTCATGTGTGGGGAGAAGTGTTTATGTGTGTGTGTGCGTGTGTGTGTGTGTATTCATGTGTGGGGAGAAGTGTTTATGTGTGTGTGTGCGTGTGTGTGTGTGTATTCATGTGTGGGGGGAAGTGGTTAATATAGTATGTTTGTGTGTGTGTGTGTGAGAGTGAGTGTGTATTTATGTGTGTGTGTGTGTGTGTGTGTGTGTGTGTGTGTGTGTGTGTGCATGTATCTGTGTGCATGTGTCTGTGTGTGTCTGTGTCTCTGTGTGTGTGTATGTGTGTATTTATGTGTGTGTGTGTGTGTGTGTGTGTCTGTGTCTGTGTGCATATGTCTGTGTGTGTGTGAATGTGTGTATATGTGTGTGTGTGTGTGTCTGTGTCTGTGTGGCGCGCGCGCGTGTGTGTGTGTGTGTGTGTGTGTGTGTGGTGGGTGTATCTGTGTTGCGTTTTCGCATAGTCCTTATGTCAGGTTGTATTCGATATGGTTAGGTACAGTCTGTCCCAGACTCTGCCAGAGGGAGAAAGTCATTAATGTCGTCCACATTTGGTAGCGCTCGCTGTTTTTACTTACATGACCTACTTGACAACTGGCGCTGTTTTCAATGCATGATATAGAAAGACATTTTGGTAAATCTGCATGGACACAGTCACCAAAAAACAAGATCTACTATTTCATAGAGGTCTGAGATCTTCGAATTCTTGTTGTGGTTTTAAAACGACGCCATTCGAATAAACATGCCCCTACCTTGTCCGCCATGAGAAATTCCTTCTGTGTGCGTTGCCTTCCACCCGTGCATGCGTAGTACAGTCCGATGCCGGCTGACACGCACAACATGACGCCGAACACGACATAGTCCCACACACCGAAGTACCGCGTCTCAACTGCCATGGTGATCTGAGAAATCTAGAACAAACAATGTCTGAGCAAGTCCCACACACCGAAGTACCGCGTCTCAGCTGCCATGGTGATCTGAGAAAGTCCAGACCAGAACAAACAATGTCGGAGCAAGGGAATTATATAATGTTTCTAATTCTAGTCTGCCAAAAGACTTTTAAAAAATCACGGCTGTCAGTGGCGAATGTGCAGATGTTGTCACATCGGCGCACCAAATCCGTAGGGCGTTTTTGACACACAGTAAGACAGATTAGCCTAAGAGGCTCGGTGGGCGTCACTCCACCTTGTAGTCATGTAAAGTGCCTTTCCCAAGGACACAACATCGGGCCACGGTGAGTATCGAACCCGGGACCTCTCGGTTCCGAGTTCAACGTTCTAACCGTTGCGCCACCAACGCGACGACTTGGGGGCAATGTTCTGTTACAATTGCATATTATTATTAATTCACATTTAGTTCCATTTGAGAGGAAAGTGACCAGTCTCTAAGTGTTTGTTTGACAAACTTTTCAGTGTGCTTTTATCGTGATAAGTTATCAGGTAAACAGTTTTCCGTGCCTTTGATACCGTAGACACCTTCTTTATATGACCCACCATGCTACAAACATCGAAAACTAGCACAAATTCATTCGGTCTAAGCCAAAACCAGGCCACACAAAACAGACGATAGTTAATGGCCATAGATGTTACGGCGTTGTATAGAAGACCTACATGTACATTTTCATTATGTAACAACCTCAGTGAAGAATAATGCCTAGTCAGTATGTGAAAACAAATACTACGCCAGCAATTCAGTGACTTACATGTGAACAGGTTAACAGAAGAACAGACTTACCAGTTGGCCTTGGTTTCAGATCCACCGAGCTCCGATCGCACTTTGTATTTCGAGTCCCGGCGTTTGCGGGTCACTACGCTACGAACTTTTCAAGGGTCACAGGGTAAATGTTTATTGAGTTGTGATAGCTTGAAGACCAGCGTGCTTTGCATAAGGTTAATTATTAAATAGGTGGCATGATTTTCTGTGCTCTTACTCTCTATCTCTCTCTCTCGTATGTCGTATGTCCGTCAAATAGAAGAAGAACTTTATTGCGCAACAGATGTAGCGGGTACAACGTATGGCAAAATATACATAGTTTGTGGTGTTAAATACACATATGGTGGTGTTGAGAATATCTAACAGTTTTACTAACTGTAATAGGAATCTGGTCTGCTTCATAAACAATGTATAACAAAAGAGAGACACTAATTATACTAATCTAACTCTATTAACACAATGTAGTAATAAATTGTGTCAGGAATTAATTACGTTTTCTCGTTTTGTCATTGAATTATGAACAAATTGGCCTATATAAGTAGAAATGTTGACAGGGCATGATAGTAACATATAGAATATCTCTGTCTTTGTATGGGGTAATGTTATATTGGTCTTACAAATATGATACGAATCTGTAGATATCGAAGACTCGATAGGCAGAGAAGGATTGATGGGGAGGGGGGGGCTAAAACACTACTCAGGTACAACTGTCCTGCATGAACAGTTCTTTAAAATTACTTAAAGACCCCGTTGAGACCAGTCTTCAGCGGTTTTAATCGGTTTTTCAAAAACCGGTTTTTATTTAACCTAGTGTAAACGCAAATCAACCGGTTTTTAGGGGTTTAACCCTACCTAGACCGGGCTTTTTTTGACATGGGGGGACCGGGGGGGGGCTCTTTTGACCCCCCCTAAGAACTCGCGAACGGTATGTCGTATGACCACCAAATTTTCAGAGAATGGTGTACTAGTGAAAATTTATCATATCTACAATTTTTATGTCGTTATGACGTAATATGACGTCATTATGACGTCATTAATGTGATTTTATTGGCCAAAACCGTCTAAATAGGTTTTTCCCTAAAAACTAAATGGTATTCAACATAACTGTACCAAAAGTGTTTATGACAGAATATTATGGTGTACTAAGTCTTATGTTGCCCATAGCAACACCGGTGACGTCATAAAATGACGTCATGCATATTTAAGATATCCGCCATCTTGGATCATAAATCTTGAATTTTCAAAAATAATTTTTTTTCATGATAAAGCCTAAAATACATTGTAAACATACTAAAGACCTTCATTTAAACCTTTTTTGGAAATAGAAATGGAAGTATTGATGAAATTTTAAAGAAAATAACCTGTATATACCTGTTCTAATGATATGGTCATGGAACTCCCATCGCCGTCGGACTTGCGCAGTAAGATACATCAAGAAAACCGAGGTTCTCTATCAGCCTGCACCTGGGAAACCGCACATCCCGCCGCAGGTCCTGCTGGACGGAACACCCCTTGCCGAAGCAGAAACCTTCACGTACTTGGGATCTACAGTGTCAAATGACAATTCCATGGACAGTGAGATCGACGCACGAAGGCGGGCTGCCTCAGCTGCGTTCGGTCGCCTTAAGGACCGGCTGTGGAACGTGAAGTCTATACGATTGAACACAAAACTGAATGTCTACAGGGCTGTAGTGCTGAGTGCACTTCTTTATGGATTAGAAGTGTCAACCCTGTATGCCCGACATGTCCGACAACTGTCTGTCCTGGTCCAACGCCATCTTCGTGGACTAATGGGCATCACCTGGCAGGACCGCATATCCAACGTGGAAGTCCTGAGGAGGGCGGGCATGCCTGCTATGGAAGCCATGATTACCCGCTCACAACTCAGATGGACCGGTCACGTCATCAGGATGTCTGAGGAACGACTGCCACGGGACCTGCTGTACTCTGAACTGAGAGAGGGGTCAAGGCCCCGAGGTAGACCACGGCTGCGGTACAAGGACACTTTAAAACGTCGGCTTGGTCTGGCGGGTATCAGCCATCAGCAACTAGAGACACTGGCAATTGACCGGGCCGGATGGCGTGCGGTGGTGAGAAAGAGTGCCGAGGCTGTGCACAGGGAGTGGGAACATAGAGAGGACAAACGTGCGAGCCGACGACACGCTGCCACTGCTACCAACAATGAATGAACTCTAATATTATATTGGTCTTTCTTTGGACTTCTATTTTTTTGTAACAGTCATGACTTTAGGCTCAAATCTGTTTTGTCTTGTACATGTAGATAGGAATGAGCCATCCTGTTCGACCTGCGCAGTTAGTCATAGTCTCTAGAGAGACTGACTGACATATATAATGATATGGTCCGCCATCTTGGATTTTGGCCAATGACGTCATCAAATTAGCATAAATTATGCATATTTAATGATAAAATTTACATAAAATATGGGATGTTATTGATATTAGAAACCATGAGTAACTTGACATAAAACCCATAAAATTCTATTGTTGAAACAAAAAGTACTTAATTTAGCCAAAAATGCCTGTCAGAAACCCGTTGCCATGGCAACACAAAAAATCAAAATCTTATTCCAATGATGGAGAATTGTTGCCAACAATATTTTAGGAAAAGTCACCAAGTTTGGCCGTTCTACGGCTAGCCCTTCAGACGCTAGGTGACATCAAAGTTGCCGCGGGCACTTTTAGCCCCCCCCCCGGTCTAGGTAGGGTTAAATCCGATTTTCAAAAACCACCTCGAAAGGTGCTCTACCGAAACAAAAATGTTGGAGGAGCCTGGTTTCTCGAAGATAAAGGATCGGTTCCGCAGTAAGGTACAGAACATGAAGACGGCATACAGGAAGAGCGGGAGGAACGGTTATTCAAACTGCAGTCATGGCCGATTAATTGGATATTCACCGGACAGGATTTTTAAAAAAGCGGTTATGAAAAGTCTGGTATGAACGCTAAGGGTTTTAGCCGGGTTTTCCTCCGCTTATTATTTAGCGGTTTCAACTGGTTTTTAAAAGTCTGATCTGAACGGGATCTTATTACCTCCATGAAAAATGGAGGTATTGTTTTTGATGCGTCTGTGTGTGTGCGTGTGCTTGTGTGTGTGTGTGTGTGTGTGTGTGTGTGTGTGTGTGTGTGTGTTTCCGCACATTTGTAGTCAGCATAACTTCAGAACGCCTTTATGGATTGTGATGACCTTATTTCCACTGTTAATGAGACAAATAAAAACATTTACAAAGACTCATATATTTCTGAAATATTAGAATTCTTGTTTTATGGAAGGTTTCGTTGCACGTTCTTCCGCGGAGGCTATTTGCGTGGAATGAAATAAGGCTACAGCAAGTAATTCTTGATGGATTTTTATCAGCGCACGATTTTCGCTTGATTTTGGAAAAAAAAATAGTAATGTTCTAGTCCGAGAACACGCCCCCCCCCCCTTCTGCCCCCGACTTACACTAACTACAAATCACTCAAAACGTGAGAGGATACAACAATGATATTTGCTAGCAAGAAAAAGTCTACCGGAATAGAAAATTTTACCTGGTAATGGCCCACCATAAGGCCCTTGTGCGGGACCTACCCCTATGTCTGGTGCCGAAGTGCAACGTTGGCGAAATCTCGGCAACCGTTTGGATTTGTGGAATTATATTTGACCAACTTTCTTGTCTATTTGAATGAAAAGAAATCTAAGGTCAAGTTCGTCAATTGAAAGTCGCAGTACACCGTATCTATCGGCGAACCCCGTATTCAAAAGTTGTCCGGGCACAAAGCAGTGCGGCACAGTACTTGAGAAAGCTGCGGAGATTGTTTCGTGCAGGATAGCGAGGTGAAAACTGTGCTGAGTTGTAGAGGAATGCATCGGGGTTGAGACCGTATAGTTTGAATTTAAAAATAGGGTATTTGTTCGGATCCTGTTACGACCTAGTAGTGTGCGTCAGCTGCAGTTCACATGGCCCCCGCAAAGCGTCATTAAAAGTGTTTTTGTGGAAAAACAAGCGGACAAACTTGAGCTGATTTTCACATATTTTGTAGGTAGTATTCTGAACTCGAACATATTAAATTGTTGGAACTTGCTTGTGTACCCTACTATAAATTTTACAGCGTCGAACCCTCTCACCTTGGGCTCCTTAACTATAGAAATCCCCATAGGGCGAAAACTGTGTCCTGCTTTATTATGTGGGTAACCGGGTTATTCGATTCTACTTCCGGTGTCAAAGGTCAGAATATACTTGGTTTTAGCCGAAGTTACACGGAGCTCACGATCTTCTAATATTTTACCTGCTAGATAAGGTTA